ATATAAATAGCCCCTGAGAAAGAAAACTCTTCTAATTTCACATTTTTAATCTTAAGAACCAGAAGTTGCAGGCCAGAGTAGGGCATGAAAGATGATAGCAGCAGCATTGACAATATGGATAAAGTGCTAGAACACAAAGTCCTAAGTTCAAATTCCACTTCAGGCATTTACTAACTACATGATTCTAGACAAGCCACTTAACTTCTCTGAGCCTCAGTTCCCTCATCTGTAAAATGGGTGGGGAGGTTAGCACTTCCAGCTCTGAATCTATGATTCCATTGCTATATTAAGCTTCCAACTCATCTCATAAAGCATTTAGCTCAGCCTCTTACCTCTAAGAGTACCACAGCCCCTGGCAGGAGATTTGATTGAAAAAGGCATTGGAGCCTTGAGGAGACTCCCAAGGACCAGCTGCTATGGTATATGTGCACACCAGATGCAGCTAGGAAGGCAGAAAACAGCATAAAAAATGAGGCAGACAAGTTTGCTGTGTGCCCATTTGCTATTACAAGTTGGTTTTGCAAGGAACTCTTCTGACTATTTTGTGGGGCCACAGGAGAACCACTGCAGGTTTCTAAGCTGGTAAATGATCAGAGCTCATAACAACATATGAAGGACAGGAGAGGGAAGGAGTGGATAAACTGAACCCAGAGAAACATATCAGAACCACAACTAAGTAATGAAGGCCTGACTTAAGCTACAAAGTGAGAGAAGTACAAAGATAACATCAACAAGATTTGACTTGCTATATGTGGAATATGAAAGGAAGGAAAGGAGTGGAAGAGAACTGCAAAGTTTCTAGCCTAAGTGACAGGGATTACAACAAGAAAAGAAAAAAATGGGGCTGGGGGGGTGAGGGAGAAACTCAGGAGGAAAAAGATGGTAAGTTTGGATCTGAACAAGTCTGAAATACCAATGAAGATGTCTGGCAGGCAAAAAGGAATTTCCTTTCACTACGTAATCCTTTACACATCTAAATCTTGGGAAATAACAAGTTCAACTAGAGATACATCTGAGAGTTATAGAACACAGAACTTAAGAGCTAGAAAGGACCTTAAAGATCATTCTAATCCAATATCTTCATTTTACCAACAAAGAAATTACTTTACCAAGATCATAGAGCTAGTTAGTGGCAGAATCATTATAAGAATCCAGTTCTCCTGAGTCCTAGGCCGATGCTCTTTCCACCAAAATGTACTACTTCTTAGGGGTGATGAGTGAAGCCATGAGAGTAGATGAGATCACCAAAGAAGAAAATACAGAGAGGGGAAAAAAGGAAAGCTTGATCCTTAAGGAATGTCTATATTTATGAAATGGGAAAAGAAAATCGAGTTGGAGAGAGAAAGAGGGAGAGCCAGATTAAGTGTTTGGCAAAACAAAGAAGCCCATTTCAAGAGAAAGGGAATCACCAAAAGTGTCAAATACTAGAAGTCATGACATAGAAAAGACATTTGGAGTCAATTCTCTTCAATAATCTCGAAAGAAGTAGAAAATAAAATTAATCTGTGCAGGAAGAATTTAACTTAATAATGGTTGGGTAGACTTCTGAAGATCCTTCAAAAAAAATAGAGTACAAATAAGGAAACAAAGCTAAATTATGATTGGTCATCAAGCTTTCCTGTCAGAAAATCACAATCTTTTAAAAGTGCTTTGAGATGTATGCTACTGAAACAGCAATTTGAGCCTATCTTAATCTCCTGTGAGTTTTATCTTCTATCTCCCAGAGTACCTAAAAATTTGCTTCGAACCTAATAGGTATTCAATAATAACAGAGTGACAATGTTGCAAAAATGGATAGAGAGACAACCTTGGAATTAGAAAGACTAAGGCTGGAGTCATGACTCTGAAACACATTTAGAGATGATACCATTGTTAGGTCATTTAACCATTTAGTATGCAAATACTCTCCAAAATCATAAATTCATAAAACTCTCTAAAGCATAGCAACCCTCTAAAATCATAAATTCATAAAACTCTCTAAAATCATAAATTCATAAAATCTAAAATCATAAATTATGATATAAAATCATAAATTAGGTTGAAGATTCCCACTAACAGAGAAACTTCCACACCAGTTAAATAACAGGTACAGACAAAACAAAACTCTATACATTTATATAGAACTTGACAATCTAAAAAATATTTTTCTCACAACTCTGTGGAAAAAATAGGACAGGTATCATTATTATCCCCACTTTATAAATAAGGAAATTAAAGCTTGACAAATAAGGAAAAAGGATAAGTGACTTGCCCATAGGCACACAACTAATTAGAGTCAAACCCAGACCTGAATACATACCTTGGTGGCTATTAGTAGGATCATTGAAAATTTGATACTGTGGCAAAAAATGCCAACTGATGGAAAAAGTTGATATAAACTTACTAATTATAACTAATACAATAAGTATCTAGAAATTAAAGTACTAAAACTGTTGTTCAGCACTATTTATACTATGATCAATTACTTTTTGTTACTAAAAACAAACCAGATTCCTCCAAGTGAATATCTCATATTAGCCACCATTTGAAAAGTAAAAAGACAAAACATTGTGAATATAACAGGGATATGAAACTCTTCAAACACTATGGGACTTCTCTCTAAGGTGGCTGTCTAAACTGGAGACTGCCCAACTCCCACATCTCTATTCTAGCAAAAACCTGAAATTCAAACCAGACTGAATAATGATCAAGTAACCCAGTGAGAAACCACAGCAAATGCCTTCTTTCACCTCAGGATTATACAAATCCAGTTAGCCCACAGGCAATAGGAAAGGGGGCCACCAACAAGTCAGTGCCAGAACAGGCAAATGAGCTGGCAGCCTCCCAGAGAAACCAGAAATAAAGGCCAGAGACACATATAATCTACAAGGCTCTGAAAGCAGCATGAACTAAGAGATCCTAAGACAGACCCAGACAAGAGCAGAAAACCCCAGGGTAGAAACCTTGGAATCCCTGAATAGTTGCATAAATAATTCACTCTAAAAACCAGTAGTGTTTCTTTACACCTCCAAAATGAAACTAATCGACAAGAAAAGGAAAAATTCATGGGCAATTCAGTCCTAATAAATTCTAGATATTTGTGTTCTCTAGGTAAGAGATAATTTTCTAATAATGTACCAGCAACTAGCTCAGTAAAGCATTTCCCATAGGCCAATAGCCCATTAAATTGCAGCATTACAGATAAAGTGGCAGAAAGATCCAGGTCACAATGTCCATGGGCTTCTAGATTTTCAACTCCAAAAGACTACAGAGGCCTTCCAGTTAACCCAACCCCTTCACTTGGAAGATGAAAGGCAGAGAGGCTAGTTAAGTGATTTGCTCAAGATCACACAATGAAAAAGGCATGATTTTAATTCTCCACAGCATCTCTTCTATCAGTCCCCTTTTAACTATTCATAGCCTTTATCCTAGTTCAGGAACTCATCACTTCCCCCCTACAACTGAAAGAGACTTCTTGTTGATCGCCCTGCTTCCAGTCTCCTCTCCAATGCATCCTCTACACAACTATCAAATTGATATTCATAAAACTCACATCTAACCATGTTATTCCCCTACTCAAAAATCATCAGTAGCTCTCTTTTGTCTCCGGTAATAAAATAATAATAATAATAAATCCTCTGCTTGGCATTTAAAGGCCTTAATAATCTGTCTCCCAACTAACTTCAAATTTTATGAGGTCTAGCGAAATTGACCTAACTGTTCCCTATTCATGGCACTCCATCTCTCACTTTCTTACCTTTTTACAAACGGTCCTCTGTATCTGGAAGGCACTAAGGCACTTCTACAGCATAAAACCTCTAGCTTTTCCAGAACACAGATCAGATTCCACTTCCTACAAAAGACCTTTTCCTATCCCACTCCTCCATGCTTTAGTGTTCTTCCTCTTGAAATTATTTTGTACTATCTTGTACATACTTTGTATTTACTAATATCTGTACATGTATCCTCCAATAGAACGTAAGCTTTTTGAAGGTAGGGTTTATTTTTTTTTTGTGAGCCTAACATTTAGCACAAGACTTTTGAAATGTCTGTTGAATTGAATCTATGCAGATTTAGATTCCAAAGGCATGTATATAAAATGTATCTCTCTAGACATCTTCCCACTCTTAAGTATCAGCAATTTGTGCCACCATGTTTCCCTAAGGGTCTGAAAAACAAGAAAAAAGGGAGAGAAATGCAGTTGCTCCTATTTTAAATGGTGATTTATCCACATTAGGGCTGTGAAGAAATCCATCTCTTCAGAGTGGAATGATGATAAATGATATAAAAGCGACTCGGCATAGCAGGTAGAAAGCAGGGGCTAGTTAGACCTGAGTTCAAGACCCACCTCTGGCACATAGTGGCAGTGTGACCACATACAAGTCATCTAATCTATCAATAACCCATGAATTCCAGAGCAGGTGCTGTCCTATGGAGTTTCCTCCCCTGGGAGTTCTCTCTACCAAAGCAGAGGTCCAGCACTATCTCCTAAGAAGAGGAACAAACTGCAGTCTGTCCTCAAAGGACCGGCCTAGCTAAATTTTAAATGAGCCATCAATCTCCCTCTCTGACATACATTCCTACGAAGGATGCTCTCAGTGCACACATGCCCAGCTCCCAGAAATGCCCAACCCATCCCTACCCCTCCCGTCGCTGATCTATTGCTGCCTGCTGCCCCTCTCGGGGTGCGCGGCTCTTCCTTCACCCCACGAATCCAATCCCAGCCCATCCCTCTCCCGCCAGAGACCAGCAAACACGTGTTCTCACACACCCCCACTTCTACCATACGTCATATCTAAAGTCACACACACACAGACACACACACGCCCCATGCGCAGAGATTCCACGTGCAAACTCCCAAACTATCGGGTCCACGGGCATACCCACCCGGGCAGGGGGCGGGGGGAGGGGAGGGGAGAGGTCCACGTAGGCACTCGGGCTCGCGCATACATACATACATACACACACACACACACACACGCATGCACACATACACGCACGCACACAGGCTCCTCCCTCACCAGCTCACTGGGCCCCGCGCCCCGGCCTCGCTGCTCCCGGCGGCCGCCCCGCTGGGGCCTGTGCACCGCACCGCCGCCACCGCCTCCCCGGCCTCCCCGGCCCCCGCGGCTGCCCCGGCCTCGGCCTCGGCCTCGGCTTCGGTCCCAGCCGCCTCGGCCGCCGCCGCCGCCTCCGTCGCCGCCGCCTCTCGCAGCCGCGCCGGGCCCCGGCTCAGGCCCCGGACCCGGCCGATCACGGTCCCGCTCTGGCCGCCGCCACCCCCGTCCTCCCCGGGCCCCGCGTTCTGCCTGCATCTTGCCCCGCTGCCGCCGCAGCCCAGACCTGACGAAAGAGGGAGGCGGGAAGGGAGAGAGGACACAGCGGCCCGGCCCGCTCCGCTCCCAGCACCGCCTCCCTGTGACAGCGCGGCCTCCGCCGGAAACCGACCGGCCGCGTGCGGAGCCGGGAGCGGGGACGGGCCCGGGGTCCGCCCTCTAGTAACGCGGGCCGCGGGGTCAGCGGCCTAGGACGGGGGAGCCCGGAGCTGGGGGGAGGGGAGGGAAGGGGCAGCGCCGGAGGGCCCTCCTCCAGGGAGGGGGGTGTTGGCCCTTGGGGGTGGAGGTCAGTACCCCGGGGCACGGGTGGAGGGGGGCTGATACACCTGCCCCTGGGCCCCCTCCACCCCTTCCCCTTCCCTCAGATTAGGAGGGGGAGAGACAGGTGTGGGTTCACAGGCAGGGCCTGAGGGTGTCATGCCAACCGGGGACAGAGGAAAGTAGGAGACAGAAAGGAGGACAAGGAGGGGGAGAGGTGGGCGAAGAAGCACCAGTGGGTGGGGAGGCGAGGGGTGAAAAGGTCAGGAACTGTCAGGGAGTCCTCAGAAGAGCACTAAGGGGCAAAGCAATGCGTGATGTGGTTGCTTTGGAGATGCACCAGTTGTAACTGGGTGGTATCCTCTCTTTCTTTCCGTTTTCCTTTAACTTTTCAGAATGTTATAACTGTTCACAGCTCTAGCAGGGCAATTTTTCCTCCATTCTTTCCTTTCTTTCTATTCATTGCCTCATGGATTCAGACACTACCTTCTCACCTCTTCTAGAGCTGAGACCCTAGAGGCTAATAATTAGTACATTGTTGTTTTTGTTCAGTCCTGTTGGACTCTTCCTAACCCTATTTGAGGGTTTTATTCGAAAAGATACTGGAGGGATTTGTGATTCCTTCTCCAGCTCATTTTACAGATGAGGAAACTGAGATAAACTGGGTTAATCTGAGCTCAGATCTTCTTGACTCCAGGCCTAGCCCTATCCACTGTACCACCTAACTGCCCCATTTATACCAACCTCCCCATTTTACAGATGAGGAAACTTGAGACCCAGGAACGTTAAAATGACTTGGAAAAGGCCACACAACAGAGGTGGAATTTGAACCCAGTGCATCTACCTCTAAGTCTAGGCAGTGAATGAATGAAATTAAAAGTATTACTTAGTTATGTGCAGAAGAGTACTGTGATAACTGCTGGGAAAAGGAAAATAAATCTGGTCCCCTGTTAACACTGTACAAAGCTGCCTCCCCTTTTCCCTCTTTGCTGTCTATATATTAGACCTGTCACTAGCACTTAGGAATAAATTGTTTTTCCTTAAATGAGGCTCTCAAGTTCCAAATCCAAAGGATTTTTGTACATTTCCCCAAAACTCATATAAAGAGACCACCAAAAATGAGAAAAAGACATTTCCTAGAGCTAGTGTTCCCTAGAACATTGGCCCTAGAATTGCACCCTTAAGGACTAAGGAGCTTTAGTTTGGTTCCACCTAAGGACGTTAGAAGAGGCTTTATGACATAGTAGCCCTAAACTTTTCTAGAGGTGTCAGTAATAATTCTCCTTATTTTCCTTTTATTATATTTCACCCTCCAAAATAAGGCCTTTTCCATGCTTTCAGCTCCTACTGTCTACAAAATTGGGACAGCTAGGTAGTGCATCAGGTAGAGTACTGGGCCTGGAGTCAAGAAGACTTATCTTTCTGAGTTCAAATCTGGCCTCAAACATTTACTAGCTATGTGACCCTGAACAAGTCATTTAACTCTGCCTTAGTTTCCTCATTTTCAAAATGAACTGGAGAAAAAAATGGCAAACTACTACAGTATCCAGAGAGATACTTCCAGAGATAGTGGAAAATCCCAAATGAGGTCATGACTGAACAACAGCAACATCTACAAAACTACAATAACTTTTTTTCCAATGGCTTCAGGACTCTCACTTCAATTTACTTAAACTGTTACTCCTGAGACCTACTGATATTTTTAATTAGTTTTAAGGGATTCTGCTTAATGTTTTCTTGATTTTGTCTTTTTATTGACTGCTTTTCTTACTGGTCAATTCCAGATTGCTGCCGCTTTCCCAGATATTTTTGTAGCATTCCATCATCACAATTGCTAGGATTTATCAACTCCTGCTTCCTCTTTCCATCAAACTTGATATTTATCTTTTTCTACTTCATGACACTTGGGGGAGTTATTGTGGTTTGACTTGGTGGGAAAAATAAGTAGTTATTTGAGCTAATGTCCAGAAAATGCAATTTCTGCACACAAAAACATTAACAAAAGACAAAGTGGGCATCATTTTGGCGGCTTATAAGCACAAAATTAATATCCATACGGGGAGGGAGATAACAACCCTGAGGTATCAATCAGCAACCTGAACAGCTGCTGCTTTTCCCCTAGCCAATGTGTCAACTGTTTCTGGTTTTACCTAACAAAAAAGCCCTTCCTTTACTGGTTGCAGGGCCTTGTGAAAGAATTAGGTCTCATTAGGATTAGGGTATTGTGTCCTCTGGTGAACTGAACAGGCCCATTAGGTACTCTTTTTTTGTTTTGTTTTGGCTAGGCAGTGCAGTTAAGTGACTTGCCCAGGGTCACACAGTTAATAAGTGTCAAGTGTCTGAGGCCGGATTTGAACTCAGGTCCTCCTGACTCCAGGGCTAGTGCTTTATCCACTGTGCCACCTAGCTGCCCCCAATCAGGTACTCTTAAAGCATTTATAAAGCACCTACATTATTCAAGAAACATTTTTGTGCCAGAAATTCTGATAGGTTCTGAGAATTCAAAGAGAAAAGTAAACTACTGCCAGCTGTCAAGGAACTGGCACACTTTTAGGGAGAAACAGTACATACACAGGTATATACAAAGTAAGGGTAAAGTTATTTGGAGAGAGAACACAACCATCTGGATGGAGCATGGGGATCAAGAAAGGCTTCATGTAGAAGGCAGCACACAAACTAAAAGTCTTAAAAGGGTTCTAGGGTCAGCTAGGTGGCACAGTGGATAGAGCACTGGGCATAGAGTCAGGAGAACCTGAGTTCAAATCCAACCTCAGACAATGACCCTGGGCAATTCACTTAGCCGTGTTTGCCTCAGTTTCCTTATCTGTAAAATGAGCTGGAGAAGGAAATGGCAAACTCCTCCAGTATCTTTGCCAAGAAAACCCCAAATGGAGTCACAAAGAGTTGGACACGCCTGAACAGCAACAACAGAGTCAGTGGTGAGGAAGGTGTACTTTCCAGACATGAGGAACAGCCAGTACAAAGGCTCAGACATTATAGTGTATAAGGAACAGTAGGAAGGTCAATCTGATTGGATTGTAAAGTGCATGAAGAGGAGTGTAGAGGGAAAAGAAGAGGGAGTCCAGGACAGAACCTTGGTGTAGTTCCACACTTGGAGAGTGATAGGGAGCAAAGGAGACTGAGAAGGAGCAGTCACATGCATAGGAGGAGACCCAGGAAAGGAGAGTGTCCAAGAGGAGAGGAAAAATAAGTCAAGTGCTGAGAATTTTGACTGAGAAAGAGAGGAGATATTTGATGATAGCTTGAGGGGATGGTAGGATCTAATGAAGGTTTTGTTGAGGATGGGTATGTATATAAATGACGGATTTTTAGATTCAGAGAGAGTTTGGGGGGGAAATGCAATTATGGAAGTGTCTTATGGAGAAAAATGGAAGAAATAGGATCAAGGGTTCACCTACAGAAGTCAGCATTGGCCAAGAGAAGTGTCATCACATCAGAGACTGGAGTAAAGGAGGAGATGAATTTTACAGGTGGAGATTTTGGGGAATATCAAGGATTTGTGAGATGCAGAGAAGGAAGGAATAATGATAACTACTAATTTGTATAGTTCTTTATGGTTTACAAAGCACTTTTCCATATACTTTCTCATTTGATCATCACAACAACCTTTTGAAGTAAATAATATTATCCTCATTCTACAAATGGCAGAGATTAAATGATTTGACAGTAAGTCACTTAGATAGTAAACTGACAAAGGATTCAAACTCAATCTTCTTGAATCCAAGTTCAGTGCTCTGTCTGCTACACCACCTATCTTCTAAGAAAAGGGAGTTCACAGTCAATGTCCTCTATCTCATCTCTGGCTTGTCCACTGCCATCCACTGATATTCTTTCAAAATTAGGAGGAATCAAGGAGTATTGGGTAGACTTCTTAAGGTGAACTAAGGGGAAGATGTGAACAAAATGTGCACAGTATACACAAGCATGAATAAGCTGGGATCTTCATCATTGGAAGAAACATCCAGCTCTAGATCACAAGATTAGAGATCTAGACTTGGAAGAGACATCCAACACTTTCACTTTCCAGATGAAGAAACTAAGGTCCAGAGAGGCTATTGATTTGCTTACAGTCAGATGGGCATATGACAGAATTTGGGCCTACATCCTCTGACAGATCCATTTGAATAATCACCAAATAATTTCCGGGGGTTGGGAGAGGAGAGAATCAACATCTGGGAAATTAAGAAAGGCCTCATTTAGGAAGTTACACTTGAAATGAGTTTTGATGGTATCTAGGATGTCAAAAGGTTGAACTAAGGAGGTAGAGCTTTCTGAAAAAAGGAAAGCAGATACAAAAGAATGGGGACGGCAGACAGAATGTCATGTATGGAGAACAGTTAGTATACTAATTTATCTGGAACATAGAGTATGTGAGGAGAAATAATGAGAAGCCATTCTGGAAAGGTGGGTTGGAGCCAAATTGTGAAGGGCTTTAAATGTTATGCTAGATGTAGTAGTCAATAAACATTTATTAAAAATCTCCTGTGTGCCAGGTACAATGCTAAGCACTACAAATGCAAAGAAGGGCAAAAGTTAGTCCCTGCTCTAAAGGAGCTGACAGTCTCATGGGGAAAACAATATGAAAATTATATGCAAATATGCTGTGGGAAATTATCAATAGAGGAAATGCACTAGAATTAAGGGGAATCAGAAAAGGCTTCTCATGGAAAATGAGATTTTAGCTGGTACTTGGTGGAAGCCAAGAAGTAGATAGGAGGAGTGACAGCATTTTAGGAATGGGGGGGCGGGGAGATACAAGCAGTGAAAATGCCGAGAGTCAGCAGATGGAGGTTTTTGTGTGAGGAACAGCAGGGAAGCAAGTATCACTGAATTGAAAAGTTCATGGAGGGGAAGAATCTCTATTGCCTATCTCAATAAATTCCAAATGGATACATGACCTAGACTTAAAAGGTAAGCAAATTAGAAGAGAAGGGAAGGGGATGCGTTTCACAACTATGGATGGGAAAAGTTTTTTACCGAATAAGGAATAGAGATAATCTTAAAAATTAAATAGACAATTTTGATTACATAAAATTAAAAAGGTATTTCACAAATAAAATCAGTGCATTTAGAAGGGAAGCAGTTAACTGGGGAAAATCTTTGCAGCAAATTTCTCTGATAAAGTTCTGATATCCAAGATATGTAGAGAAATGATACAAATATATTGGAACAAGAGCCATTCCTCAATGGACAAGTAAAGTATATGAGCAGAAATTTCTCAAAGGAATAAAACCAAGCCATCAGCAAACATCTGAAAAAAAGCTCCAAATCTCTAATAATTGGAGAAATCCAAAATGAAACAAATCTGAGGTTCTACCTCATACCCGTCAGATCGACAAAAAGGAAATAATTGTTAGGGGAGCTTTGGGAGGACAGAACTGCTCCAACCATTCTGAAAAGCAATTTGGTGAACTTCTTTGAACATCTACATTATGCCCCTAGGAACCTCATCATCTTGCAAGATCAAATCAGCCTTGGTACTTAGACCTCATCAGTACTCTCTGTCTCTCTAACTGGAGGGCAAGGCGAAGAGTTCCTCCCAAAGCCTCCATTTAGGGGAGGATGCCAAAATCAGTCATTTCTTTATTTCCAACTGGGCTGCACTCCTTTGGACTTCCCCATCATTCCCCCATGCTAGGTCCCTTCACTGCCCTTTCCAGCTTACTTTTGTGTTATCTTCTCCAATTAGACTGTAAGCTCCTTGAGGACAGGAATTATCTTTTTAGTATTTATATCCTCAACACTTAGCATAGTGTTTGACACATGTTCAGTTATTTTTCAGTCATGTCCAACTCTTCATGACACTATTTGGGGGTTTTCTTGGATTGCCATTTCCTCCTCCAGCTCATTTTACAGATGAAGAACTAAGGCAAAATGACTTGCCCAGGGTCACACAGCTAGTAAATGTCAAGAGGCCAGATTTGAACTCAGGAAAATGAGTCTTCCTGACTCCAGGCCTGACACAATGGGCACTTAATGTTTATTGACTATACGTAAAAAAGTCACTGCATCCCAGTTCAACCTAGTGATACTACTGTCTACAAAGAGTTCAAAGACAGAAGGAAAAAACAAATGTACAAAAATACAGTAGCATTTTTTTGTTGAATTAGAGAACTGGAATCAAAGTGGGTGCCCATCAATTGGAGAATGCCTGAACAAAGTATGGTTTATCAATGAAATAGAATAGTATTGCACTATTAGAAATGACAAAGGGGATAGATTCAGAGAAAACTGGGAAAATTTGTATAAACTGAGGCCAGGGTAATGAGAAGAACCAACAGAACCTTTTATACAGTGATCACAATAATGTAAAGAAAAACAATTGTGGAAGACTTAAGAACTCTGATCAATTAAATGACCAATTGTGATTCCAGCAGACTGATGATAAAGAATGCTTCTCAACTCTTGACAGAGAAACGATAGGCTAATGGTAAAAAATAAGACATTTTTTCTGCTTGACCCTGTGTGAATCTGTTTTGCTTAACTATACTTATTTGTTAGATGGTAGAACTTTTATTTTGGGGATAGAGAATAAGGAGAATTAAGGATAATAAAAAAAGAAAGAGAATATCAATGAAACATTTAAAAAAACAAAAGAGCAGAGGAACTTCAGAAGGGGATATAGATAAGCAAAGTAGTATTGCTACTATCGCGTTAATATGTTCGTTTTCAAAGTATATATCAAGCTATACAAAAAAGACAGCTTCATATAATCCTTTTTTTTCTGTTCTTTATACGTGGAAATGTTGAAGTTTATAAAGTTCATAACTTCAACAAAAAAGAAAATTAAAAAACTATTGCCTACCAAGTAAAGTTCATACTCCTTTGCCTAGCACTTATGGCCTTCCACAATCTGGTGCCATTCTTCCTTTTCAGCCTTTTTTGTATTACTTCCCTCCAAATACTGTGCTTTAAACATATATATCTAATCTCTGCCCTAACTCCTACCCCCAAACATGTCCAGCCCCTGTGCCTTTGCTCATGCTTCCTATTCCTGAAACTTCTTCCATTTTCCTGTTCACCTATTGAATTTTTAGCTATTCTATAAAGTCTAATTCAAATGCTACTTTGTCCATAAAAACCTTTCCTGTCTATAACAACCTTAACAAACCTCACACAAACTTTTATTTTGCACTTCTTTGCACTTACACATTATGGTGTTTTATATAGTTAATCCTGTTTGTAGCTTATTCTCCTATAAGGGAGACTGTAAGCTCTCTGAGCACAAGGACTGACTTACCTCTTCTTTCTATCTTCACTAGTACCTAATATGGTGGCCTATATAGAGCAGAAATTAAATGTCTGGAGAACATTGTTGAATGAAGTACCCTTAGGACTTTCTGAAGTTCAAAAGCCCTTCCTCAAGCTCCCAAGATCATTCCCAGCCATAACCTCTGCTTTACTTTTTCCCAACTATAAAGAATTTTGTAATGATACAAATACTTGTTTTGTTTTTCTCATGGTTGTTTTTGGAACTTGAGATAATGATGATAAAATAATATGTGACTCCTTAAGATGAGTTTTCTTTGGAAAAACAAAGAACTATTTCTCATCCTCTCACTCTTGAGATCACCTTGCCACTAGATTGACTTTCCATCATAAATTGTGACTTTTTAAAAAGAAAGATGCCTTCTAATAGCTCGTTACATTTTTTTCCCTGAATACTACATCCTTTTCTCCAGGCTGTCTAACCTCCTTGCCATATATACACATGATCGCCTCTGTCCTTCCCCCAATCCTTTACCCATCTTACAAAGATTGTTGCAAAGGCAACATCAATATCAAATTAGATAGATGAAGCATTTATTAAGTGTTTATTGTGTGTCAAATGTTATGCTAAGCATTGGATGGAAATGCAAACAAAGCAAGACAGGATATAAGTTCCGTGAGAGAGATTCTAGTGAAAGAGAAAGGTGAGGATGAAACTGGAGGAAAGGTGAAAGAAAAAACCACTACATATGTGATTTCATTTGC